AAAAAAAAAAAAAAAAAAAAAAAAAAAAAAAAGAGAGGTAAACATGTTTTTATAAACACTGTTTCAAATCGGCACAACAGGTGGGAACAAGGCATTGTCATACAAAAAAGCATATAATACATAAGTGCATACATAAAAGCAGAAGGGGCACGCCGACCGTTCAGTACTCAAATGACGTACCCCATACCATAAGGATAACCTTACGCCATATAAAAAAGAAGCTGTGTTGAATTTATGCGTATATAAAGCGCTGCTGACAATTTTTAATTTTACTTGATACACAAGTGCGGAGGCGCATTGGAAGGGGGGCTGCATTTACTTGCGAGAAACGTTTCCCCTAATCAAGGCGCGAAAAAAAAAAAAATACCTCCCAGAAATACGTGACCGCACCGTGGTCTGCACGCATGGCGTTATAGTAATAATTATGTTCTTCCCAGCGGGATGTGGACCCTGCTGCCCGTATTATATTGCGACCTGAACCCGTAAGCACTTTTCTTCATTTTATGGGGTGCGTTGCCTTTAGGGACTCTTGTCGAATGGCCCCGGGTGTATGTATTATTTTATGCTACCCCTATATATTATTGTATTGTTGTACCGTTGTATTGTTGTATAAATTATTATTGTGTCATTGTATTTTTTTTGTCATGCCATCGACCCCGCCTTCCGACGCCAAGGTTTATTATCTTTACTCTGGGGGCGCCGTAGAAGGAAGGAAGAAACTAAAGGGGGTAAACATTACAAACGAAAAAAAAAATATACCGTCAGCTTATAAAACCCCATATCTGCGTATAACTTCACATATGGCCCCAGAGTGCCTCACAACAATATATATGCGCAAATAAGCACGCAACGGGTACGCATTATAAATAAATTCCTTACAAGAAAAAAACGTACGTGCAAAGGCTAAGCGCAAAATTGTTATGCATATATTTTCACTTGTTCCCCTGTACAATTATGTGAATTTCGAAAAAAAAAAAAAATAAAACCATTTTTTTTTTTGCCCTTGCAAAAAAAATTACCCCACATGAGAATTAAAAACCTTCCAAAGGGGAAAAAAAAAAGCACATAAAAGCTACAAATGCCAATATATAATTAAAACGAACGATAATATTTTCTTTTTAATCGCTGTTTTAATTTTCATCTAAGTGATAAATACATGTATCTATTCCATTTGTTAAAAATATATATATGTAGCGCTTAAGAGCAGAAAATAAACCACGTTTTATTTTCGCGCGTAGCTATACATATGAATACAGAATAGCATACATATATATATATGCAAGTAACATACCCCACAGAGATCCGTACAGATGCGCATCGCACGTTTGCACGTGTTTATATGATCACTCTGCATACAATACGACATGTTTCTTTGCTCCCATTTCATGCCAACAGAAGAAAAAGAAGTACCATAAAAACGTGACCGCAGAAGAGTGGCCGAGGCCAAAAAAAAAAAAAAAATAGAAAAAAGAAAAAGAAAAAAGTGCAAACGAGTACAAAACAATAGCATACAGCAAAAAAGGGAAGAGAAAATTTATATGTAATATATATATATATATATAAAGCATATATGTATATATAGCATACGTATTCTCATACCTACACTTGTATGATTGTGTTTGTTTGGCCGCATTTGCATCCCCACGTTCATAGGGGCACACTCGTATGGCCACATTTGTACGACAGCAATTTTTATGGCTATACTTTTGTGTGACTGTATCCACGTGGCGATATTTTCGTGCGTGCATTTTCGTACCTCCAAGTGCCTGCCTACTTTTGCGCGAGGACCACTTCAGTGTAATTTACCCCGTTTAAGTGGCGCGGAATAAATTGCGACATTGTGAAACGAGCCAACCGCTCGCGTTACGTATGTAAATACGTGTTCGTGTGACCCCGCAGAGTAACATTCACCCGTATACTGGCCGTGCTCCGCAACTGCCATATTGCCCCATGCAACACATCCTCCTTTAAGCCAATCGCATACTACACCATACGTATTTTGCGAAACATCCCCGGCGTCACGCGTTCATACCTACGTATACCAGTTTGACGTTGGAAAAAAAAAAAAAAGTGTACATGTGATGAGCATAGTTACACAACATTTTTTTTTTTTTTTTATCACACACCATCACGCATATACCCGTGTAACACAAAAAGAGTGTTATGAAACAAACAATTATGTAGGGGCAAATAACACGATAAAAAAAGAAATAAAAGAAGAGATAGAAAATTGTGTCCATTTTTTGCACCTTTTTTCAAATCGAAAAGTGCAAATTTGTGTACAATTTTGCATGTGCCAGTTGGAGTATGCCCTGTCTGTACTTTATTTCCTTTTATTTTCCATAACGTCGTTTTTTGTTATCCCGCCTTTTTGTGCATTTCATATAAGTGTGAGCGTTTAAGAAAAAACAACCAGGTTGAGAGACTTTGACAAATTGACATCCTTCAGTGTTTTACTACACTCGACATTTACATAAGTACAACGAAAGCTTGCCTCCCAATTTCAAGCATTCGCAACAATTTGCCTGAACAAAAATATAAACAAAAAGCGCTTTTCAAAAAAAATGGATGTTATAGGAGGATGAAAGACTTGTCAAGTTTTACGATAAATCACAGCTCAGGACATATTTTCGATTTTGAATTTTGAAGCGCTATTCATGCCTTATTCTGTTCTTGAAATTTTGTTTGCGACCATTTTGATCGTGCCGATTTGTGCGTGACCAATTGGCACTCGCGATCGTACACCTGTGGAGCGCCCATTTTGCGAGCCCCTGCTGAAGAGTCAAAGCGCTTGTTGCAAAGACGAAGGAGCTTTCGCCGCAGCCAAAGGACAAAAATTAAGCAAAAGGCAAAATAAAAGGAGAAAACAAAATTAACCCCATCCAAATTTATGTCGAGGAAAAACCCATAAGTTCATAGCCCCAATTAAAAAAATTTCCAAGAGATCAACACATACACATCACAAAACGTGCATGTAAAAAAAATATACTGCCACGTGTAAATATAACACGAGCGAAGCATTTGCACATCAGCATAGCACATACCACGGTTCCTTGACCTCTTTTCTGTTAAGCTAAGAAAGGACATGGCCAGTGCGCTGGTTTGGTATCCCTTGAAACCTCATTTTTGAAAAGAGCACATTTTCAAAAATATTTTATGTGCATATATGGACAGTTGTCACATACGTACCAACACGAACAGAACAAATATTATTTATTCGCATTCTAGATCAATTCAATGACCATTTTTAAAGACAAAAAAGAAATAAAGTACAAAGGCTTATTTAATTTTAATTAAAATATTAACACGTAACGCAACACCCATATAAAAGCTAAAGAAAAAAAAAGAAATTTTTTTTTTTTTTTTTTCTATATTGCTTGGGTACATTGACGACATTTATTTTGTATAGAATATTTTCACAAGCGCGCACTTTTCACCAACCCACGCTCATAAGTTGTCAATTTGTTTTTGCCAAGTTTATAAGTAGAAAGACATACAAAACTCTGCACACAGTAAAATTTGGTAATCAGGTGTTTATCTTTTTAAAGGTATCCAAAGGAGATTTCCACCCATCAGTCATCATAAGGGAAAATTGCTAATCGCAAGGCCAATACCCACAAAAGGGGCCAAAAAAGAAACGTACCAGATTAAACCAACGTAGCATCGGAGAAACGCAGTAGTGACCAATCTCAGAACACTCAATCAAAGTGCCAGACAAACACGATAAAATGAGTACAGTTATGGAGGAAAGCAAAATGGAAATTGAGACGAATAAAGAAAATGAGTGCGACGGAAAGGTGACCCATGGGTCCCACGAGGGTAACACCAACGGAAATGGTGAAGGCGACCAAAAAAGCGCCGACAAGGCTGAAGGTGGTGACAATGGTGAAGGCGACCAAAAAAGCGCCGACAAGGCTGAAGGTGGTGA